TTACACGCCGCCCGTTTGATGCGGCGCCAGCTGCTAAACTAAGAAACCCAATACTTGTTGAGACATTGTTAGAACACACGTTATAGGAAAGAAACTGGTCAGGACTCGAGGTTCATGCCTCATTTCATAGTCAATTTTATTTCTAGTGTTGATTCCTTCCTTTGTTGCAAAGATTGTTTTTTGTCCATAACTGTGATACAGTCAATTTTTTTGTTTGTTTGTTTCACTTGAGAAAAAGAAACTCTTGAGAAAAAAATCAAGTGAATATTGAAAACATTATGTGCAATGATCCTCATATTTTTTTGATGTGAGAAAAAGGAAATGTGCTTGAATATAAATCGGTGCTAGAAAAATAAAATATGTAATTACCCTTTATCTATATTGTTTTGTATTTTATTGTTTTTCAAGTATTTCTGGAAGTGTGATATTTATTAACCAAAAAATTTAATGAATTATTTTTTTCATTTATGGTGAAGTCATCTGAGCAATTTTTCAAATATACACAATACAAATTTATATGAGAGATTATCTAACGAGTCAGCAAAAAAGAAAATAAATAATTTTTAAATTAATCTTGTACATGTATAAATTACATTGATTGAATTCCTAAAAATTATAGAATTCTCTCATTAATGAAATTCAAATAAAATGCAGGTTTTGGCCTGTAGTTCCTTTTTAAGCAGGTGATTTCCACCTTTTATAATTTGAAGTAAAACATTCTTGTGTTTACATCGTAGGCCTCACGAGGCGCTGAATGGCATGTCATTAAACGAAATCAGACATCGCGACGACAGGTGTTTATTTCGCTGTGTGACGGTCAACACCTTGGAGTGCCGTCTGCCTTTGTTCATAGGCTGATTTCACCTTATCGTGTCTTATCCCGTTTATTTAATCAGAAAATAACGAAGGTTGAGAAAAGAAAAACAGACCGAATTTTAAGGTAGAAAGCGAAAAGATTGTAGAAATGTGTAAAAGATGGAAAGTGACAATAAAAACCACTAAGAGGTAAACCAATAGCGCTGTGTAATTTGATGCGGTAAAGCAAAAGTAACCATTTGTTAGCGTTCCGCTCCGTTAACCCCAGGTGGAGTTCGGTTTCTAATTATTGCTCCTCTTACGAGCTCCTTGGCGCCAGTTAGACCGGGGGCGATACTGTCCTAGTGTATACCAACAAGTGCACGACTATTGTTAGCGCATGTTTCATGCAAAGGGGGTCATGCCTTCACTGATTTCAAGGTGGTTTCTCATCTCCGACATTCCGATGTTTAATTCACGACTCCAACAATCTGGTGGCAGCGGTTGGACCTTCAATAAAAAGTCGGCTATCCTACCTTTTTTGTTGCGATTATTTTCACAGGAAAAAAATATTTTAGGCCAGAAAACGTGTCTACTCTTAATGAATTCTTTTTGTTCGATGACTATTTGTAAAGTACTTATCTGCGAACCCCTGCTCTTTAAACGGTGATCATAGTAATTAAAAAGAGCATGTCTTTAAATCAAGAAACACATTGAAAAAGCACGGATGGGCGATAGATATAATGTCATCATATATCAAGCAAATACTTGGCAAACATCAAAACTGTTCACAGGTGACAATTTGAGAATCTAATCAATGTGAATGCACCATGTCTATCAGATGTCTACATCAAGCCTGAAGACAAGATAACGCGTAGTGTGGCGACACATAAACACCCAGGATTCAATATCAATCACATGATTTATTGCCGTATTAATTGAGGAACGAATGAATACTTCGAAAAGAAATATATAAAGAATCATCGCACGGTCGTTATTTTTTGTCTGTATAGGAAAGCTGGTACTCGTCACGTGATTTTTTTTTATCTGATAGTTATCGCCCCTTGGAATAGTTTATCAAACCACCTGTTGGGGCATGGAGTCACCAGCAATTTTATCCCTCCCCTACCAAGACAAGGAAACTAATCATTTGATGGCATCAGCCGATAGTTCTAAGCAGGTCTGCTTGGTATCATATCGACCGTGCATTACATTTACACAGATGGTAGTTTTGTCCTCCTAGATAAGAGCAACCAAATAGTTTGTATTCACACGGTACCATGACTGTTAAAAATGTCTGTAAGACCTCACTATACACGCTGCGATAATACAAACACGACTCTCATGGTACAGCATATCCTTGTTATCAATTAGTGCGATTAGGCCGTATGAAATACATCACACCTGTCGGTTGAGCAATATTATCTGATATACACCGAGGGGCACATAAAGGTGATGATATTCACCTATAGATCAGTCGTGGGAGGCTATTGTCATATTAACATCGCCTCAGCGGCCCGAAGGAATAGCTTCTTAGCTTCCACCTACCTATTTATGGTCTATATTTATGTATCGATGACATTTTTATGATCGTGTTGAACATCTGTAATACAAGTGATATGCTTACTTGATGAAATTTTTATTTGGTTGTTGATGAACTGCAGGAACACTCAATGATTGATTAAGTTAATATATATTAAATCTGAAAAAGAATCCCAGATTTACAGCTTAATTTTTTTTTTTAATTATCAATCAAAATTCTAATAATACAAATCAATATAAGATCTTTTAACAAAACTATGTACTTCTGAACGTTTACAGAATGGTCCTGAATAAATCAATTTGACAATGCTTATGAGACAAAATGATTTTCTCTATCCCGCAGTTAGATAAACATCCCACATCTTCTACGTATAATGGTTCTATCAATCATAATACAAGTCTTCTCTTGGTCTAAAGAGACCTATAAAAGAAATGCATGGAAAAGACCGACTCCTTGTTCTGCTGTGACCAATGTCGTTGATAAATCAACTTTTTTTAACCAAAAAAACTCGAGGGGGCGGACAGTGGTGAATAGAAAGAAAAACGTTCCAGAGCAATTATTATTGAAAATTCGTTCCGAAATAATTGCTACTTAATCACATGGGGACCAGTTTATATTGATGCATTGTAACACATCTGTCAAAAACAAATTAATCGAAAATGCTCACAGGGCATTTGTTTTGATTAATATTACTTGTAGTTAGTACATGTATTGACAAGGGAGGCAATAACTTTAGGTGACAAACAGTACATACTACTTCAAAGCTTTTACTTTAATCACATGATTTTAATCATTGTGGGTACTCCAAGTAACCCCGAAAGATAAAATTAATACAAAAATAACGTGTATTTGTAAACAAATTAGATGTATATTGCATTGTATCTCGATATCTAAGAGTCATCTCGAGGATACTTTCAGCAAATGCTGTAAATTATACATACTTCTGAAGAATAGAGCACAGGATGAATAGACACCATTCAATCACTGGAATATTCACTGAAAGTCTGGAAAAGTCACTGAATGGTAGAGCTATACCATTCAGTCACCTTTCAGTGGAAATTCAGTGGTCATTCAGTAAAACTTAAACCACTATGTCTCATCCTGTGCAGCATACTAGTAATGTACGGACAGAGTAGGAAAACAAATCTAGTCACATCCTAAATAGGCCGACCCCTTCCTCAATTATAACATGGTCTAGGGCATCTATTTGTCTGTGTAAGTTCTGAAAAGATTTGCACAAATCTGTTCATAAATAATATACATGGTTTATTGCAGTTCTGCACTGTAAAGCATGCCACTTCACTATCAACATAAACTAAATGGTTCAAAGTTTGAACAATTTTTGATAGCACCCCACCCCTGGTTCCAGTGCGAGGTTTCGAATCCGCTAGAAACAGAAGCGGATTTAACACAATAATTTTGATTAGATTGCAGAGAGGGTATAAATGAAAACTTGTAGCAACATTTTTGCAAATGCCCAAAATCGGGAACAAATACAGAAACCAGTTACGGAGTTTTATATTATGGGTCTTTATTGAATTTTGCGCTGACATTATATATTTCGTAATCACATTCATCCACTGGATTATGAAGAACTGATGTAGAAAATGAAAAAAAAACTTCCATTTAAAAAATATATTGGTCAATAATTCAGCATCGCGATCAAGTTTCCTTTGTACCTGTTTGAACCGTATTTACTGTATTGGTTTGTTTGACACTTATTGATACATTTTAATGTATATTTTTCTATAGACAATTAGTGCAAATTACAATAAACTTTGACGGAATATATGGTGTTCATAGTATAATAGGTTTATGTATAATAAGTTTATAAATAATAAACAAGACAGAGGTGAAGCATACAAAAAGAATATCTTTCTTTACAGTGCTCTTGAGCACAAAAATAGCGAACGAAATATTCATCTGGCCTCTGTTTTTGTTTATAGAACTAATAATAAATCATACAAATGAAATATGATAAACATTTTTTTCATGAAAGTGTCCAAATTTCATTATATCTGATAACCATTTCTTGTTTCATATATGGCTTCAAAATTCCCACTTATTGTTTTAGAAGCACATCAAGATTTTACACAACACGAATAGGGTATCAAATTCACTTTGTTTTCATATTGTTTCTTCTTATATTTCATATTTTCATTTGACTTTTGCAAACACGGGAGGGAAATTTTGTACAAACGATAGGTGTCGAGCATTTCTTCCAGTTGTTTCATGCTCTCTGACCCAAGACTAAAACAATGAAAACAAACTAAAAAAAAAAACTAACTCAAGTTGGTTTTAAATTTCTTAGTATCTACCACGAAGAAAATCTTAATACCCTTGAAATCAAAAAGGTACAAATTGATTTTAACAGGTATTTGACAAGAGCAGGAACTATACTATACTTTGATTTCAGACTATGCCGTGTGTATCTCGTGAAGTTATTTGTGTATAATTTAAAACCCATTCCCACTCTCAGGTAACGACCCTACAGGTTCCAGACTGACTATGTTTGCATGTTAACGGTAACACCAATTCTCCATATATCTTATCAAAAATTATCTTCTCCTTTGACATATGCTATTAAACTTACAATAGCCATGGATCTCGTTTTCACTGATCTATCTCAAAACGCATCGCACCTGTCGCCATACTGGTAAAGGTAATTCTATATTGAAAGATTTTTCAGCCTGATAGATTTTTATATTTAAAGTTACCTGTACAATTGGTCGCCTGATGCACGACTTGTGGGGCCACCTGACAAAAAAAAAAGGAAACCTGCTAAAAATGCACCAGTGCGGCACGCTTTAAATCTCACTTTATATTATACGTAGATTGCTTGGTGTAGTATTTTACGCAGTATAGCTTTTAAAGAGAGATTTTATTGCCATTTTATGATTTTATATGAAACGCATATTTTGCGTTAGATTATCAATATTATTAATCAGTGATTAAAACATGAAAAGAAGTATTCTGGAAATGAATGAATTCTCTTCCAGCTATTTGCAAAAAGGTGACAGTGTTTTGTTCCTAAAGGTGGTTCCAAAAACAGTTTACTCTCAATAGTAATACAAAAGTCCATTAACTGATGAAACAAACTCTTTTAAATGTACTGTTATACCAAGTATATTTGCAGGGTCCATTTCATACAGTAATTGTAAAGTATTTCTATCATTTGTGACAAGCTATACCTCATAATTATGATTAATCTCGTTTAAAGTGAAATGGCGAGATTTAGACCTTAAAAATCGTAAAATTAAACAAAAGAATTGCCATAAAGTGTGTCTTTGTCTCAAGCTTTCTATCTTAGTTTCTTTTCTTTTGTCATTTACCGTAATTCCGTAACCCTACATTTTTTTTTTACAGTGAAAGCTGTGACCATGATAAATGCTTTGAAAACCATTACAAGATTTGTTTAAACTCGGACCTCAGAGGCATTCCTTATTGCAATAGGAACCCTTATTTCTATCTTTCATTGTTAAAATTATCCATGATAATTATACCCTTATTTAAAAAGTTTATTTAATTATTACCATTAGCATATCTTTTCAATGATTGATAAGTCCTAAAAAATTTTTTTATAGGATTGTCTAACGTTAGTTTTAAAATTCTCAGATACTGCATGATTTTGATTATTTTCCCTTTTGCTTCAATATATTTCAGTTTTTCCTACAGCGATAAATTTAAATATGATATTATTTCATTTAAAAAAAATTACGGATATAATATATCAGCGATTTGAATTTTCACCTCCTTTTTGCATTACTTAAGCAATCGTTCAATGCTCCATCAAGGTTCCCTTTTATGTGGTTTTGACGTGGTGGTTTTCCATGCTATAACAGTCGTTGAAGTCGTCATGGTTTTTGACCACTCGCTCAGAAGAAGACATTTATTTTTAGCTATCATAAGTTGAGGAGTTCCTTCTGGCCAGATGGAGACCACACGCTTCGATTTCATCCAGATATTTCAAAAACGTTTTAAAATCGAATGTCGATTGTATAAATCGAAGGAATTCTTGTGTTGTAAAATTTTAGTTTACCAGGTTGGTAGAAAATACAAATGTTATTTTTGCAATTATTGGCACCAATCAAAATTAACACGAAGAAAAATAAAGAATTGTAAAATTTTACAAAAAAATTACCGGCAGTTCTTCAATTTAAAGTCAGTACAATAATCCAGAAGGGGTATATTGATTGATTAGTTGATTGTACATTGTTTTACTTCCCATTCGAGAATCTTTAACTCATATTGAGACGTCATCATATACCGATGAAGGGCTTCAAGTTTTGACCTTTACTCGGCACTCAGGTCCATTGAGCAGAGACGGATCTTTATCGTGCCAATGTTTGCAATGTCAAGGGACCTCGGTTTTTAAGGTCTCATCCGAATTACCCATAATCATCATGCTGTAAATTTTGAATTTACTAGGGGGGGGGGGGTAAATGCAAAATTTACAACATGATAAACATGCTACCTATTTTTTTATTGACTTAGGTCAGTCGCGGCCGAGATTCGAACTAATGACCTTTCAATCACGAAGGTCAAAGAAAATACACGTATTTGCATTATATTACATATATACTGCATGTGGACATACATGTATAACATTTATGGTTTGAATGGTTTCTCCAGCAAAAAATCATACTTAAAAGAATAAATATATGGATAAATGAATGAGAGATGAAATCTACTTGATGTTACATTTCAAAGACAGTTTGAACTCTGAATCGAGTTTTGAATTATTAAAAGTTACAGTCATGAATTACATACATGTATCAAAATCAGTTATCCTGTAGAAATTGTTCAAAAGTCGTGCTAGAGACAAATTCTTTAGCAACAAATGATTAAAGAGGCTGGGGGTGGCAGCCATTTTCAGACTATTTCGATCTCATTTAAAAGAAGAGCTCCATATAATGATATACAAAAATGATAAAATTTTAAAACTAAAATGTATGAATTTTTTCATTCCCAAATGATAGTTGACAGGTTAAGATACCGTACCTAAAAAAATAAGTTAAATCTGGTGGTTAATTTGTAGTTTATTTGTTGACCCCCCAGCCTCCTTAAGAAATCAATAGGAATCAAATTAGAATCTTGTAAAAGAAAATTGATTAAAATCAGTATTGATTAAAGATGTAGGCAGTACCTAACTCAAATAATTTTTTCGCTATCCCACCTTAAAATTTTTAATCTTTTTTTGTCAAAAATATGACATTATAACCTAATGTTGTGATATATGTGATTGGGAGACTTATTTGTCTTGTTAATAACCCTTTTTCAAGTCAGGAACAGTTATGGTCTACCTAAATAATGCTTAAACAAAAATCTTTCTTTTTTTTTTTTTTACAATGTGAAATAACTGTATACGATGAAACCTATGTATTAAGAAGGTGTAACAAAAGGATAGGCATAGTTGCTTTCCAACTGTATATGGCCTCTATATAATCTAGAGGTAATTAAACGACACATCTGTTCTTTGTTTTTGGCGATAAAGCTGTGATAAATAAAAGTTCTGTCTTCCAATTAAAAACGCAAGCACCAGGAAATTATTCTTACTGCAGCCATTAATCATATTAAACTACTCACTTCCATTTTTGGAAACTTTTTTGTTCCATTTTTTTGTTTTGGAAACTACTTTTGCCTGTTTGGGTCATCGTGCTTAAGTTCATAGACATAAGATATATTATCTCAAAACATAAGTACATTTCCGGTCCAATACCACCCTTCTACAACTAACGCGTACATGTACATGTCTTGTCCAATACCACCCGTGTTTGGTAAAACTTTTACAATACACGTGCATTCCCTGTCTTCTACCACCCGTGTTTGGTTAAACTGTTAAAATACATGTATATTTCCGGTCCAGTACCACCCGTGTGATTGGTTCAACTGTTAAGGATATCCGATCCTCAGCCAGGAAGGATAACCCCAAAAATTCATATTAAATTGAAATGCATCAAAATGTAGCTTGAAAATGAAATTTTTTTCATGCAACAATTTTCTTTATATTAATCTTAATAAGATTCAAGGTTTCTGGAAGTCTTAGAGAAGGTCTTATAAAAGTTGACATTTGTACCCTATAAAAGGAAAAAAGTTAATATAGTTTTAGAGAAATAAGATTTTCTTGAATCCAGCCTTAGATACCAATGATTATTAGCATGATATAAAATGAGAAGTGATTTGTGGTGTCTTGCAATGATAGCAAAAGCCTTTTACACTATGTATTATACAATACATGACGGAAACAGAAGACAAAAAATACCAAATAAGTATAAAAATCATGACAATTTCTCTGAATGCCTGGATACCTATCGTTTTTTAACCTAAAATATATTTGTTGATCAATTTGCAATTAGAAAATGCACAGCTGATATTCCTATTCGTTTTTTCTGCAAAAATATTGGAGATTTGACGATTTTCCCTATATAGTATGATTAACTTTAATCTTTAACTTAGAAGAAATACTGTGGATAAATTTACATGACTCTGTGGATTCTAAGATACTTTTATGAGTATTTTTGATTACTTAACTGCTTATTTTATAAACCTGAGGATCGGACTACCTTAAGATACACATATATGAACATGAATGCCAATACCTCGATGCATGTATTCGTGTCAAGGAATCTACATGAAGAGAAGTTCAGTTATTATACTATTTACACAACTTTAACATTGATTAAAAAAAATGAACGGTTGGAGTACGTACATGTATCTCTACTTATGGTGATCATTTACACTTTTTGCAAGTCGGAAGAGAACACTACTAGCTTGGAATCTTAAAGAAATATATCTAAACAATCTTTTTTAAAAAGGCAGTTATGTTTCTATTGCCTTTTTTCTTTGATTTTGTAGTGCGACTTCATGCATTTATTTGATTTTGAATTATAAATTGCACTTGACATTTTTTTTTAATTTTGTATAATGTCACGTGATAAGCCTATACTCAGAGAGCCCCTATCCCAACCAATGACCTTATTTAAAGAATTGTCCAAGATATATCCCCAACTTAAGCTTAAACAATGTCTGGTTATTGGACATGGCATATCCTTCGCCATTTTTTGCCTTATCTGTAAACTTGTTGAAATGTTGCAGGCAAATCTCACTAGGGACACTGAACTGAAAAAAAAAAACCCTCTACGTGTGACTTCTGGCGTGGAGATGATGGACTTTTTCCTATAGATAGAATCCCCGGACACACGTTTTTCATCTTGCTTTTTTCTATATGATCGGATTTGCTCATTCACTGGAATTTTGTCATTACTCTCGTTCAACCGGACTCAAATTCGTCACATATAGAACCCCGACGACTAGAGCGGGAGACTCTAGCTCTTCGTCGTTCTCCAGAGACAGCAAACATTTAGTTGATTTGAATGAGCACTACATCAGTAAAGTCCTATTTGCAATGCATCCGTACTTCGGACATAGAATCTTTTTGTACTTTTTTTAAATTCTGATACTTTCACTTCAAGAAGTACGATAACTACACCCAATGTAAGGGACATACATGTATCATTTCAAGTTGAACTTCCGCTTATGAGGCATCAGGGTGGGGTATAAAAATAAAAGTTAACTTGGCCTATGTTAACAATGCAACCAGATGTCTACAATATGCGCGGTTTTGATGCCATATCTGATAACACTGGAAGAGGTGCTGGCATA